AGTCAGGACGGATGGACGTAGGGAAGGACACACGGCCGTGTGGCTCCTCTGAGCAAGATCAGGGCCCACGCCGGGCTTCCCGCAGGGGACAGATGCCCCAGTGTCATCTCGAGAGGATCACTCAGACTGTTAAGTGGACAGCAGCCCAGCCAAGCGGGCAAGGGGACTCAGGGACAGTCTGGGACAGTCTGGGGGGGGCGGCCATGACTCAGGTTGGTGGCGCTGGAGGCAGGGGTGGGCCCACAGGTGTGCGGGTGAGAAGGTGCAGGGCAGCTGGGAGGCTCCACCCTCACTGTGGGTCCATCGGCAGGGGGAGGCCACGAGTGAGGAGGTGCGTGGACCCTGAGTTCTGGGAGTTTGAGGCTGAATGCGCCATGCAGGTCACCTTGCGGTTCGAAGAACTTCTTCCCCAAGAGCATCAGAGCCATCTCAGTACCCAGCTCGCTTGCGCTGCTTGTGTTTGCACAAGCAACGCACAGAGTGCCCGAGTCAGCACCGCTCCAAAGGACCGGTCTGACGGCCACCCTCCCACGAAAGCGCCAGGCAACCAAGAGCCTAGGCTGAAGGTCGGCAGGGACGCGTGAGCACCAGCCCCGCGCAGCCTGTGCTGAGCGCTCCAGCACCCTGACCTCTGGCTCGGTGCGCAGGACCGAGTGGGCTCTCCTCTTCCTGAACCTTCAGCCACACAGGCTGCATCGGCTTAGCAGACTGGATGCTTAGGGTCCAACGCCTTTATGCTACTTTAATGACACCTCCGTCACAACACAGACACAGGACGTGCCATGGAACAGCTGAAGGTAGAAAGATGCAGACGCCATGAGGATGGGCACCCAGCGCCTCAGCGGCGAGTCCACTCCAGGGCGTGTGTACCCACAAGAAATGCACACGCGTGTTCACCAAAAGAGACGAGAAGTGCCCAAGAAGCCATACTCGGGGGCCCGAACATGGAGACGGCTCAGTGTCACCCACCAAGGAGCAGACTGCGGCACATCCGTGAATGGAACACTCCGCAGCGTGACGGTGAGCGTTCCGCGGCGCACGGCGGCGTAGGCGAATCCCAGACGTAGATTTTCCTGATTCTGAAGGAACACCGGCTCGCACGCACGCTCAGCGCCCCCAGACATTGCCCCAGGGCTCTGTGGACGGCACACACACCTGCTTTCTTGTGCCCGGGGAGGGCCCTGCCGGGGAGTCGGCACAGAAAACACGAGGGCGGGAGACGGCAGGTAAGTGCCCTGTGGGGTCGAGCCCTCTGTGCCTCCGCGACCCCCTCCCAAATACACCGCTCACACCCACTCCCATGTCAGCGTCTGCCGCAGGGGAAGCCCGGCCAAGCCAACCCCCCAAGAGGAAAATGGAAACATCAAGATACGCGGTTCCGAGAAAGCCGGAAAGCGAAGGTACGTGGAGCTAGGAAGCTGCCCGGGACCTTCCAGGGCAGGGCCCCCTTCCACACCCCACCCTCCCATCTCCACACTTCTCCTTGCTGAACCAGCAGAGCGGTAGCTTCTAGAAACTCCTACCACGCCGTCTTAGCGTGTTTGTGCTGCTCTAGCAAAACGCCCGAGACCGGGTAATTTATTTCTCCAGCTCTGGAGGCCGGGACGTCTGAGCTCAGGCAGGTTCGGCGTTGGGCGACGGCGGCTCTCTGCTTCCAAGATGGCGCCTGGTCACTGTGTCACAGGGGTGGCAGGTGCTGTGTCCTCGCACGGCAGAAGGGGTGGGAGCGGCCCGTTCGTGAGCGCTTGTCCACTCCTGGGAGAGCCCACACGACCTCTTCACCTCCCGAAGGACCCCCTCTTATTACTGCCTCGTGGGGGTCGAGTTTCAGCATGAGCTTTGTAGGGGACACGGCACAGCTCATTGCACGTACGTCCTTCCATCGAGGGACCAAAACACGGGCACCCAGGTGTGAACTGATTTCACGGTTGTTCCCAAAGTGACCACATCTGATCACCCTGCAACGGCCTCGGGGGGCTGGCGAGCAGATGAGTGGGGGGGGCTTTGCCTGGACGAGACCGTGTTCGGGGCTGGCCCCACGCTCTGTGCTGCACATGGAGTGAACACCCCCTGCCCAGCAAAGAGAGCTGGGAGGTGGGGGCTCTCCGCCCGGAGGCTGGTCCCCGACATCCAAGCTGACCCTCTGCCCATCAGGCGCAGCCACCACGTGGTCAGGGTCTGCGGGGCGGGGGCAGCTGGAGTGTGCATGAGCTCTCGTGTTCCACATGCCCCAGTTAGTGCTGGAAGCATGCGGTTCTCACCTGCACTCGTGTGTGACTGAGAAGCCCCCGTGTGCCCAGACGGCTTTGTGTGCACAGACAGACACCACCAGACACCCCAGAGAATCGCCCCACCCAGCCGGGCCCCACCTTAACGGGGACCTTCCTGCCCCAAATTCCCACCATGGCCACTTTCCCTGAAGCCAGTCCCAAGACCAGGATTGCAAGGATTTCTGAAGGGAGCACGTGGGTGTCCAGACCAGGAGGCATCCATCCCACCTGGGGAGGAGGGGTCCTGGGTGTGCACCGCCCCTCCCTGAGGGGGTGGGGGATGCTGCGAACATCACGACCTGCAAAGGCAGGAGGAGGAAGAAGGGAGGGAGGGAGCTACTCTCTCAGCAAAGACCGATGACAAAAACGGGGTTTGGTAACTTTGCAAACAAGATTGGAATCGTGTTCCGAGTTCCGAGAAGAGTTCATGGCTTAGAGAAAACCTGTCCTGAGTCCTCCTCCTGGCCAGCAGGTGTCCGGTGTGGGCAGCCTCAGGACAGCGTTTCCACCTCGCTGAGCCCTGGGCAACCTCGCTGCGCCAAGGCCGCAGCCTCTGGGCAAGGGGAGCTCTGGGAGGGAGGCGGGAGCCTGGTCTGTGCGTGGCACGGTGGGCATCGCCCACACGGGACCCCCGGGAAGACTGAGCTACTGGCCAGATCCCGCCACAGCCTCAGAGCCCTGCACAGAGGAACCGAGCGCCACCCGCCACTGCCAGGCCCCGGGACACGCGCCCACACCGCGTGGCGCTCCCCCAGGATCCACGCCTGGCAATCAACGGAGCTAATGTGTTACCCCTCAACAGCTAATTACATTATTACTTTGTGACGCTGCAATCACAAGATTTTTATGTTTTGATGCTAAATCTGGTAAAACTTTAAATTAGGGTAATTAAATAATTAGCTGTATGACAAGCTGGAAACTTCCCTCTTCTCCTGCCATTCCCGGTCGGCATTGCCCGCGTGGAAAATGGGCAGAGAGAGGAGGGAGCTCGCACAACACCACGCGGCCTGTGCGCGAGACCCCGCGGCCTTCCCTGCGTGGGAACCGACAGGCCCTCTTCTGGGATCGGGGCCCTGGCGGTCTCTCTCTCCACGGGTTCGACATGGAAAGAGGCGAGCCCGACTCCATCTGCGCGGTGCGGGGGCAGCTGCCGGCACTGAGGCTGGGCCCCCCTCGCCCACCTGCTCCCAGCACCAAGAGTGGCAGAACCCGGGGGCAGAGGCCACCACCCTTCCTCTCAGGCCCCACCCGCAATCCTCCTCTGGCCCCTCGGCCCCGGAACAGCGGCGGCTCTCTGAGCGCCAGGCCGCAGGTGCGTGCGATGCCCGTCTCCCCGAGCCTGTGGCTACTCCCGGGGTATTTGGTTTCCGGACTAACGCGGCACATAGAAATATTTAGGGTGTGAATGTTTGAGGGGCAACATTATCCAGCGCTGGTCTGTGATGCTCCGTCCTCAGCGGAAGCTGCCCAGGGTGCCTGGGGTCGGGAGGGCACGGGGAGGAAGGGGGTCATCCCCGGCGGGCCCTGGAGAAGGCAGCACCCCCCGTTCACGCTGAGCCGTCCTCGTCCTCCAGGCCTGGTCCTCCTGCCGTGGCCGCCCTTGCAGGGGGAGGCCGGCGGCCGGGCCCAGCGCTGAGATGCTTCCGGGGCCTGAGCCCACAGGCGGCGGGGAGGGAGCCCCCAGGCTCGCGAGTGGCCACTCCCCGTGAGGCGAGGACGGCCAGGCGGCGCCGGCGGGTCTCAGAGCTTTCCGAGCCCTGTTCATCCACCACGGCGCCATCTTCATCGGACCGTCCCTTTGTCCACAGAAGGCCACAAAGGCACAAAGCTCGGGCCCGGGATGGCCTTGGCCGGGGACGGGAGGCAAGAAAATCCCGCGGATGCTGTGAGGGCCGCGACTGAGAGGCTCCCGCGGCCAGCATCGCCCCTTCCCCAGGGAGTGGAAGCGTCTGGAAGGAGGAGGAACATTGAATTCTGCTGTCAAGAAACACAGAGTTTTAATTTCACGCCACATTAGGGCAGTCTGGCGGCAGGGCCCCGAGGGTGGGCGTGTGTGCCGGTACCGGCTCCCGCCAGCGCCCTCCGCTAATTGCAAACCGGATTAAGTAGCCGATTGAAGGCGCTGGATTAATCCGACCTATGTCCTGGCAGCCGCCCCACCTCCCGCACCCGCTTCGTTCTTCACCCTTCAGAGGGGCAGGCGAGGCCAGCCAGGACCCCGTGCAGAGGGGCCCCGCCGAGCAGTCGCATCGTGAAATCTTGTGTGGGACGCGAGACAGGACAAGCCCCACTGGCCACGGCAATGACCCTCTCTTTCCGCCTTAAGGGGAAAAGGCGCAGTAAGTGATCCGCCCACAGCCGCTGCTGCAGTTGCCCGCGGACATCACGGCACCGATGAGCTGCGGCGCCCAGGCACTGGGCCAAGGCCTCCCCTGGAATGCACCAGCCCTGGCACAGGGAGGTCCGAGCCTGGCGAATTCCGGCTGCTTGGTTCTAGCGGAGCAGGTCGAGACTGCGCCGGTGAGCTGTCCACACCCAGGAGGCCAGGCGTTGCAGGATTCCCTCCTGCGAACGTCTGCAACGGGCAGATCCACAGAGACAGAGGGGCTGGGAAGAGGGCAGGGGGTGACTGCTGAAGGGCACGGGCTTCCTTGTGGAGTGAGAGAATGTTCTGGAATTACTGGTGATGGCTACACAATGTCAGAGTGTGCCGAATGCTGCTGAATTATCCGCTCTAGGATGGGTGAACTGTGCGGCGTGTGAATTCTGTCTCAACAAAGATCCGGGGCAGGCGAGCAGGCACCTCCCGTCCCCAAGCCCCCCACTGGGGCCAGGGCCCCGTCCTTCCAGATGGGCATGGGGCACCCGCAAGGCGCGAAGCCCAGACAAGGAGTCGGCTCCGGGAAGCAGAGGGAGGCCGAGGCCCTGCACACAGACCCCAGCACCCCATGTCACCCACGTCACCCCGCCCGGAGCCTGTTCACACCGAAATGGAGGGAGGGGCTCACACCAGAGGCTGCTCAGGCCCCAGGACACCCCGTCCTGCCCCCTGATAAACAGCCAACAGCCCCCCACGCAGCGTCCCTGCCCCAGGGTCTCCGCTGGACTCCAGCCCTTGCCAACAAACTTGCTCCTAACAATATCATTAATTTGCTTTTAAATTGTGCCATAAGCAACTGTTTAAAGGCCTGGGGTCTCTTTTAAATTTTCTGTGTATTAATATTTAATCTCAGCCAAGTGTAAAACCACTTGTGCAACGACAAGGAAGCATGGGGAGAAATTGGCGACAGAGGCGTCTGATCTGCTCTCGGGTGGCCTCCGCTGTCCCTGGGCCTCTCCTGGCATTAACGCTTCTCAGAACTGCAGGCTGCTCGGACCCTGGGCGCTGTGGCCAGGACATCCTGCCAGAGAGTGACGTGGCCTGGGCAGCTTCGAGTGGCCTTGGGCCCTGGCCAGGCCAGCCCCTCATGCCGCCTCTGCCCTGTGGAAGGGGAGGTCGGTGAGACCCGGCTCCTCCCCCCAGGGAGCCTCAGAAGGTCCAAGTCTGCACTCCCCACACCTCATGCCCAGCGGGGTGGGATGGCACAGCGCTGCTCTGTGCTCCTGCCCCCTCCTGCCCCCTCCTGTCTGCACCTGCCCCCTCCTGCGCGCACCTGCCCAGGCTCTGACACAGAAAGCTGTGGCCACGTCATCGAGGACTCGCCTGTGCTGCGGACGGAGACTCTGTACATGGCGATGGGGTGGGGGGTGGGGGGTGGGCAGGGCCCAGGTGGACATCAGGGAGCCCCCGGGTTGGCTCCCCAAGGTCCTCCCACAGTCAGAGAGCACAGTGCCCACCCACCCCCCATACGCCAGGTTCAAGCGGGGTCAGCTCCTGATCCCACTCGGCGTCCAGACAGAGCGTGGCCCAAACGCCCTGCTGTGTGGAACCCCAAGTGGGCGGCCCATCCAGCCCATCGGACGCCATGCCTGTGGCCCAGTGCCTTGGGGGCAGGGCTCGGTCAGAAGCCCAAAGTGGGGTGGCCAGGCTGACGGGCCAAGGAGAAGGGGACCCAGGTTCAGGGAAACCCTTAGAGCCTTGTCACCCCATCCTAAGACGGGGAGGCTGTCAGTTGACAGAGCTCCTGCGAGGACACTCAGGAGGCCAGAGCAGAGTGGGCCCACACTGCCATCGTCCCAGCAAAGGGACACGTGTGTCCTGCACCAGGCCTGACCTCACTCACCTGGACCTCACTCACACAGCACCATCGAGGCAGGTGCCATGACTGGGCCTCGGTTTACCCAGCTTTGGTAAGGGTGAGGAGTTAGGGGTCCAGCCCTGGCGGCTGGTCCCTCCTGGTCCTGGCTGCAGTCCACAGGCACAGACACTGCTGGCCCCCACCCGGCAAGCACCATGCGCCCTGCAGCACCCCGAGTTTCCCCTGAGCCAGGGCTGCTGCACCCTGAGCCGGCCTGGCCCACCCAACCTGCCAGGTGGCCCCCGCTTCCTCCGTGCAGCCCACCCCGCACAGCCCCTCCTGGTTGTGTCCCGCTGCTCCAGAGGGCCTGGGGACGCGGTCTGGCCCCCAGAGTGGCCAATGCATGCTCAGCCACTGCGCCCCCGCGCCCCCAAAGCCCTGTCTGGGACCAACCACCGTTCACGCAAACCCGGGGATTTGCTGCCGCCTGGCGGCCAGGGGGAGAACTGCCCACGCTAACCACCCCCCAGACTGTATGCGCTGCAGGGACCCAGTCCTGTCTGGGAGGGCCCTGGACACCAGGATGTCCCCACACAGCACCAAGAGGCCAGGGTGGAGCTGGCCATGACTGCTCCCTGGGGAGCCCACCCTGCCACCCAGGTAGACTTCCCCATCCCCCGTAAGGTGCCCAGCAGGGGCCCAGGCCCACGTGGCAGCAGCAAGAGCCCAGGAGTGCTGGCCCCAGTGCAGCCACTCTGATCTGCCCAGAGAGGGCCCCGGGGTGGAGGCGGCAGGGGCCACAGCGGTGGGAGGGAGGGAGGAGGGGACCAGGCCCAGCAGACGCCGGCCGCAGGGGTGCTGAGGCTGAGGGGACACGAGGCCAAGGTGGCAGGATGAGGCCACCGGCCAGCAACATGGGACTCCATGGACGGTCCCCTCATTATCTGTGGGGGAATAAACACGGACAGTCCCTCACTTACAACGGCTCCACTTACGATTTTCCAACTTCGCCATGGTGCAGAAGCGATACACAGTCAGTAGAAACCATACTTTGAATTGTGGTCCTTTCCTGGGCTGGCGCACGACGCCCTCTCGCGATGCTGGGCAGCAGGGGTCCCGGGCGGCCGCGCCATCCCCACGGCGCGCAGATGCGGGCAGAGAGAGTGCGCTGAGTGCACCCAAGGCTGCCGTGCTCGGTAGGGCAGGTACATTAAACGCACTTTCAGCTTTGGGAGCTGAAGCCACCCGCACGGGAATCCAGGCTGCTCCCTGGCGTTTTCGCTCTGGGCAGCTATTACGCAAGGTGGTCATGGTACCACCGACCACGGAGGCAGTGCGGGGGAGAGAACCAGTCCACGCTGCCGCAGGTGTGTCTGCCCCCTGGACATCCCCTTGAATATCCACCGGCAGCACCTCCCGTGGACTCAGAAGCCCAGTCGGCGGGACAGGATATGGGAGGTGGCCGGTACCGAGGCTGCCACATGTGCCCCAGCAGGAGGCCGCAAACCAGTGGGTCACGTTGTGTTAAACGGACAAACCTAAAGCCTTATGCTGAGCGCAAGACGCAGGTCATAAAACCCCGTATTGTACGATTCTGTTTATAGGAAACATCCAGAACACGAAAGCCGCAGAGACGGAATGATTAGCGGTTGCCAGGGTTGGGGGGACGGAAGGTGGGAATGACAGCTAAGGGGTGCAAGTCGTCTTTTCGGGGTGATGAAAATGTCCTAGAATTGATTGTGGCCACGGTTGCGGGACTCTGTGACTATTAATAAAGATCTTGGAACTGTTTGCTGCAAATGGGTGAATTGTGCAGCATGTGAATTATGTCGAAATAAAGCTGTTCTAAAAATAACTCAAAAAACAAAGCATCTTCCTCTTTCACCCTGGAAGGGCCCGGCGTGGTGCCGGCTGGCGGGCAGCGAAGTCGTCTGCAGTCTGTCGGCTGCACAGACGTGAGAGGTCGCAGTTCCGTGGAGCCTCCACCAACCACTCCAGCAACAGCGCAGGGGTAGGGCCGTGGTTTCTCCCCTTTCCCCAAGGGACGGGACTTACTGCAGTGCAGACAGGTGAGCTGGAGCCACGCCCGGAGCGGGGCTTTGAGGGGATCCACGAAGCGCCACCCAGAGACATTTGGTGGAAGGGCCAAGGAGAAAGGTATCGGGGGTCCCCCAAAATGAGCCTCAGTCCCTGCTGACTCCCCCCATCACCCGATACCCATGGAAACACCGGGGGAGGGGAAGGGCAGAGTCTCACCCGAATGCCAAGTCCGACTCAGCCCCAAGGGGATGGCAAAGCTGCGTGCCCAATGGCCGGGGCTCTGCCCTCGAGGAACCGTGCACACCCACCTGGCAAAGAACTTGCAACCTTGTCCAACCTTCCATGCTTAGAAGTTCCACAGGAACAAGCAACAACCCCAAAGCGAGTGCAGGAATGCAAAACAAAGGAGGTTTGAAACAAACATTTTAGGCACCTTTTAGCCGGCGTCTGCGCCTCCACCCCCCATGCCCCACACTGGCCGGTGCAGCTCTGCACGTAAACTGCGCTTCGTTGGCGACATTTGGCAGGAAAAGTCAGGACGTTCTAGTGGCGTGAGGAATGATACCGCCTGCTGTGTGGTGGGAACTGCGGCGCCAGATTCTCACTCCTGTCGTGAAAAGGTGGGTCCTCCCGCCCAGGAGGCCACGTGTCATCCCGAAAAGCCAAACGGTGACGTCCAGGGTGGGTGGCAGTGGCCTCTCCCGGGGCGTCTTTCCTTCTCCCTGTTCTAATCCTCGGAAGAGCCACGTGCCGTGGGAGCGGGGCATTTGGAGGCGCCGTCTCTGGGAGGGCAGGGGGTTTCTCTGGGTTGCTGGTGGCGCTTTCTCAGAGCGGGTCTCTCCGCTCTGCATACAGAGCGAGGCTTGCCAAGGCCACGTGGCAGGGCCCAGTCACCCCAGAGCCCTGCTGCTCCCAGCCAGGTGGGTTCTGTGGCCCCACGGTGCCCACGTCAGCCCCCGCCCACCCTGCCGGCCACCCCTTCCCCAAGATGTAACAACCAAAGCCCAGCAGCAGGGGCGGCTTCTCCGTGTCACACTGTGCTGTCCTCGGGGAGGGAAAGGGAGCAGCTAGTTCAGGACAGCCGGGGACAAGTAGGTCCGAGGTTGACAGACCCACCCCTGAGGCTGTCAGGAGACCACATGTGTCACGAAGACAGCCCCTAGTTTGCAGATGCAGACGCAGGCCAGCAAGGCTGAGCCGCTGCCAGGCAACACCGCCGTCAGTGCAGAGCCGCGGGTGCGGGCCGGTCATCGGCTGGGACCCTGCCGGCCCTCAACGGCCCCGTGTGTAAGAGGGACAGCACCCTACCTAGGCTCAGAGAACTGGATGGTGGAGATGGCGGGTTTCTCCAGGCCCCCCACACGCGGGCACCTGTGGAACAGCCCCCCGCGGCCGCTTGAGCAGAACCGGGGAGGGGCCTGAGCACGTGCACTTTGACCAGGTGGGACCGCTGAGAACCTCGGAGGTCGGGGACGCAGCCTCCCAGGAAGCCAGCAGGTGGCAGCATCGGGCCACAGATGCCGGGTGGAACTTCAGGATCCGCCGGTCCCACCAGGTCCAACAGCTCTGCAGCAGGAGGCCTTGTGGCCTCCCACGGGTGCTTCGTGGTGGGCCGGACCTCAGCCCTCCCAAGCCACGTGGGTGGCATTGAAGGTTCTTACGACCTGGCATAGGAACTGGCCCCGAGCCCCTGCTCCGGGCTGGGGAGTCTGACTCGCAAAGCCCAGGCCCATCCAGACGGACGGCAGCGGAGTCTCGGCGTCAAAGGGGGCCCTGCTTGGGAAGCCCATCTCCCCACGCCTGCGCTGTCAGCTCCTGCGAGTTCCTCACCAGTGCCAGCTGGACACCCCCGGGCCTTCACATGCAGTGTGTCCACACTCACCGTCCTGGCCAGCACCTGTCCTCCCGCCAGTCCCGAGTCCCCCAGGCAGGACCCTCCCTCCACGGCCCTGCCGGCTCTGCTGGGTCTGGAGAGACCCAGGAGGACGTGCCCCCACGGCTGCAGCCAGAGTGTCCCCTGGGTGCAGCTGGCTCTTCCCACAAAGGCCAAACTCCCCACCTGGCTCCAGGGACGCCTGGGGGCAGTCCCCTCCCCTCCATCTATGGGCTCCACCCTGGCCCTGACTCTCCTCCCACCAGCCCGGCCCCTCCACCTGAGCCCCTCGGACGGAGCACCAGCACCGTGGCCTCCTGTCCACACCGGGGTCTCCCCGATTCCCCACCTGTGCCCGACGTCAGCCCAAGGGCAGGCCAGGGGTGCCTCCTGGACTCTGCGCATCCCTGGGGCCACCTGCATCCTGGCCGGCGTGCCCTGGGGGTGAGGCCTGCCCTCTAGAGCGGACCAGAGAGCAAAGCCCTCGGGGCAGACACGGCCGCCAGCCAGGCAGAGAACAGGCCTGCAGCTTCCCACGGTGGCTCATCCGCATTCTCGCCAGTCTCCCTGCACCGGGCATGGACTCCCTGGCGTGGCCAGTCATCGCTGCATTTCCACACCTTCCAGAGCGCACACGGCTCTTACCCATTCCCTCCACGATGCGTGTCAGGCACCCACTCACCCTCCCGGTGCACTGGACAACACATGGATCGCCCGTTATTCCTCTCCCTGCTGGAACCCGGAGAACAGAGAGGTTAAGCAACTCCGCCAAGTTCACACAGTGAGTGAATCCTTCCACCTCATGCTGGAAGGCAGGCTGACCCCACCTCCCAACTGGGCCAGGAGGAGCCACCCCTCAGCACCTCCATGGGCCTAGGCAGGCTCCCACCTGGGAGAAGTTTGGGGTCCCAGCCTTCATAGCCTACTGAAAGAACTGAAAAGGTAGTAGGGAACCTGGCAGAATTCCCATCAGATGTGGCCAGACTCGCGAGCAGGCAGCAACTTGGGCGGCTCCAGGAAAGCCCTCCAAGCCCCAGTTCTTAAGCGGTGCACACGGAGGCAGGTGAGCTAGCGGTGAGCTGAGCAGAGCGGCAGTCACTCAGCACCTCCTGCCAACAGGAACCCGGCGTGAAGCCTCAGCCTCCCTACCCCTCCCGGGTGCTCCCGCAACTCCGTCCTTACCTGCGATAGGATCCAGCCTGGCTCAGAGCGGGGGCGTCGGGGGGTGCAGACTCTGGCACGCGCTGCTTTGCGACGCCCACCGCGCCGACCGACCCCCGGCGGCCCCAGTGCGCTCCGCCCCGCCCCGCCCCACGCCGGTGGCGGCTGCTACCCAGAGGAACTGAAGACAGGACGGACTGAGGCGGGTGCCACGTGGGACGCCTGCGTTTGGTGGCAGCAACCCCTAGGCTGCAGGAGGCGGTGGCCGGGCGCCGAGAGGCACGTCAAAGCGCTCCCGGTCCGCTGTCCCCGACCCGGCCCGCCGTCTGCGCCGCTGGTGGAGCGGGGCCGGGAAGAGGCGGCCACCAGGTCCCCTCTGATTGGACAGCTGCGCAGACCCAGCGGGGGCCTCGGAGCAGGAGCGAGAGCCCGCCCCGGGGCCGGGCCCTGCGCGCCGCGGCCGGGAGGAAGAGTAGGAGGTAGAGGGAGAGGAGGGCGAAGAGGAAGAGAAGGGGAAGGAGGAAGAGGAGGAGGCAAGAGGAGGAC